ATTAGTAAAGATAACTCGATAAGCTAACGTTAGCGAAATTATTTGGAAATACATCAATATACCGTATGCGTGATAATGTTTGCACCATCGTACAAATAAGGTTCCCGTTTCACCTGTGCATACAATGCCTTGGTTTTCTTTGCATGCACGTAACCTATAGCTCATACCGTAGTAGGCTGTGTATAAAAGAAAATGATTTACATAGTTTGACAGTTGCACCATGACGAAGTGGCAGCGTATTTATTCGTCATTTGTCCCACGCGCAAATGTCGCAAAAAGACATTTAAATCGCCGTGGGAGTGTCCCGGAGGACCGTCAAAAGCGTTTTAGACCGAGAAAAGAAAGGACAACTATCCGCGAAGGTGGCCACAGGTCGTCCGAGGTCAACTCGGGTTCCGAGGGTTATCACTACTATCAAAAGGAAGATTCTGGTGAATCCAGTGCGTTCAATAAGGAAAATGGTAAAGGAACACGGGATCAGTGACTTTACGGCACGGAAGATCGTAAAGAAAGATTGCGGGGCGAAGTGGAGGGCACCGAAAAAAAAACTCACATGATTACCAAGCGCATCCGGGAGCTACGAGTCGAACGGTGCAAGAAAATCTTGAACTTCCTTAAGCGAAAAAATTCGGTAATCCTGTTCACCGACGAGAGCATGTTTACCGTCGATCCCGTTTCAAATTCCAGAACCGACCGGTATATTAGTTCTCTTCCGGTAAAAGACGTGGCCGACGAGCACAAGAACGTGTATCTGACCAAGCATCCTGTTAGCGTTATTGTGTTTGGATTGGTGGTTTCCGATGGCAAAAAATGGACCCGGTGTTCATTCCAGAAGGTGACAAGGTCAACACGGAGGTCTACATCGGGATTTTAAGTAAGTATGTTCTTCCGTGGATCAAAGAACAGTACGGTCCGAAGCCAAATGTTGTATTTCAACAAGATGGGGCTCCGTGCCACACCTCGAACCGCACTCAGAAGTGGTTGCAGGAACAGCTTCCGTTCTGGGCGAAGGATAAAGGGTGTCCACGATGAAATTGCCACACTATGAAATTGCTCTAACTTTTTAACCGTTGGGTAGAATTTAATGAAAATTTGGGTGGATTTAGTTCATAAAGCATTATTTACATCCTGCAAGTTTTAAAGTCCTGTGATCAAAACTCGCGGAAATGGAGTCGAAAGAACAGCTCGTGTGTGATAAAATCTTGCGCATTCATCACGAGAACAAGGATCTCTCGCATCGTTCCATCGCTAAAACGTTGGGAATCGCGAATTCCACGGTGTCGCGAGTGATTAAGCGGTTCGAGGAACGGTTGACCACCGATCGGAAGCCCAGAAGTGAAGGAAAAAGTATTCCGTACAACACCAAAAATCACAACCGCGTAGTTGGGGCCTTCAACCGAAATCCGAACGCCTCCGTTAGGGATGTGGCTAAGAAGCTGCACCTAAGCCGAAGTTTTGTCCAGAAGGCCAAAACTAAGGCTGGGCTTCGAACGTTCAAGGTACAAAAGGCCCCTAATCGCGACGAGAAGCAGAACAAGTCCGCCAAAACCCGTGCCAGGAAGTTGTACCTCAACATGCTGACGAAAGTTGAATGCTGCATCATGGACGACGAAACATATGTGAAGGCCGACTTCAAACAGATCCCGGCAACCTGTTTTTCACGGCCAAGGATAAGTTCAGCGTTCCGGAGCATGTCCGCACTCAGAAGATGTCCAAATTTGCGAAGAAATTCCTGGTTTGGCAAGCCATCTGCACGTGCGGGAAGCGGAGTGCACCTTTCGTGACCCAGGACACGATGAACGGACAGGTGTACATAAAAGAGTGCCTCCAGAAGCGGCTGCTTCCTCTCCTGAAGGCCCACAACGTCCCAACAATCTTCTGGCCGGATTTGGCCTCATGCCACTACTCCAAGGACGTGCTGAAGTGGTATGCGGACAATAAGGTCAATTTCGTGCCGAAAATGTTCAACCCTCCCAACACTCCGGAGCTCCGCCCCATCGAGAAGTACTGGGCGATTATGAAGCAGCACCTTCTTAAACGACCTAAGGTAGTGAAGACAGTCGAGGAACTGAAGACAGTATGGGTTTACATGCAAAAAACGGTTGATTCACAGGTTGTGCAGAATCTTATGGCCGGGGTTAAGGCCAAGGTGCGGGCATTTGCGTATGGACTGTAAATAAAATACGAGTAAAATGGTAAAATGAAGTTTAATAGTTATTTCTCAATCCCTGAAAATTTGATGGCAATCGGATGAAAACTCGAATTTTGCGAATCAATTTTGTGTGTGGCAATTTCATCGTGGACACCCTTTATGTGGCCACCAACCAGCCCCGATCTTAATCCGCTGGATTACTCAATATGGCGCGCCATAAAGGCCAAGGCCTGTTCTAAACGCCACCCGCGTACTGCAAGCCTCAGACAAACATTGACCCGTACCTGGAGAGAAATGGATCCAGACTACATTATTAGAACCTGCCATGCATCCCGGAAGCGTGTGGAGGCCGTAATTGCAGCAAGTGGAAACTCGATCGATGATTAACATAGTTTAAGACTCTGAGAAACATCCCCCCTTTGAATAAATAAAAAAAAATTTGAAAACGAAATTTTTGAGGATTTTTGACGTAGGACTACGTCTTTAATTTCTATATGGGGGTACACTTTGTGAAAACCTAAAGTGGAACATGTAACAAATTAAGAAAGATTTTGAACGTTAATAACTCAGCTACCCCTGGTCCAATTTCAATAATTTTATCACCAATCGATCAGAAATATGGCTACGCATCGATAACAATCCGAATGTTGATTGTCCAAAAGCGTCGAATTAACTAACAAATCCACCAATTACCTACATGCATATGCTGCTTCCCCAGTACAGTCGTCAGAGAGTAGTAAGTAGACGAAACAAGTCGAAGTGGCATTCGCTTCCGATCCTCGGGCGCGTGCGAATAGGGAGGATGGAATTGCGGAATGTTTTGCACACTTATTGCCATATTCAGAACCAAACGCAAATTCTTCGAGATAACCACCATCCGTCGTCTGGCTCGCCGAGGTGGTGTCTGAAGTATCTCCGGTCTGATTTACGAGGTGTGCTGAAGGTGTTCCTGAAAAATGAGATCCGTGATGCTGTCACTTACACTAAACACGCCAAGCGTAAGCGGCCATGGATGTCATCTACGTTTTGAAGGTGACAGAGACGCACTCTGTTTGGTTTCGGAGGTTAAATCATCACCAACTTTGGCAACAAAACGGCTCTTTTCAGGGCCACCAAGCTTATTACAGTAAAGAGTAGGAATAGAATTCATCTGCCTATTTGTCCATATTCAGAACCAACGATCACACAAAATGCTCATGTAATCAAACTGGAAGCAGGGAGATAGTTGAGATAATAGATAATTGATCAATTAAAAGAACTAAATGCTCTTCACATTTATTCCGTCCACTAGCGGTCCTACGTCAAGCTTCCGTTCGTGCCCCTAGGCACAGACCCTTCTACTTTTTTGTTTTTTAATATTGACATTGCTCAATGGTGCAAACATTATCACGCATACGGTACATCACAAAATATTCAAGTTTGTCATACCTACAGTATTAGGTACTGCGCGGAATCTGGTTAGGTCACGGTACTGCCAAGATAGTAAAATATCTATTTATCGGTATACGTTAAGTTTTTCTTCATTTATGCCAAACGGCCATTATGCCGAATAGCATTATGTCAAATAGGGTAGAGCCCATAATGCAGAGTTATTAATAAATGACGCGATTTAGTTCGACCACTGTGCAGAGAACTCACATCAGTTTTAAGGTTATTGCAAATCATCTAAAAACATGAAGACAACATCCTAGGTTTCGACAACATCCTGAATCTGGAAGTTGAGTTCCAAATTCTACAACCATCTGGCAATTATTTTTAATCTGTGCCTCAGACTTGGCTACTTCCCCTCGTGTTGGAAGTCAGCTAAAGTCATACCCATCCGGAAACCTGGGAAGGATCCGTCCTCTCCTTCAAGTTATCGACCAATGGGCCTTCTCTCAGGGTTATCAAAACTGTTCGAAAGAGCAGTCTATCACCGACTCCTGACATCTGCCGAAAAAAACAACTTGTTACTCGAGGAACAGTTTGGTTTTCGGAAAGGTCGTTCGACCGTCCACCAGTTGACTCGCGTAACAAACATTCTCAGACGGAACAAGTCTGTTTCTAAAACATCTGCCATGGCGTTGAAAAGGCGTTCGACAATGTCTGGCATGCTGGCCTGGTGTTCAAATTGTAGCAGTACGGTCACCAATCTTCCTAGTGAAGATAATAAACAACTATCTATCGGACAGGACGTTCTGAGCCTCTCTGAATAGCATTACATCGGATGCTTTCAACATCGGTGCCGGGGTTCCACAAGGAAGCATCCTTGGCCCCATTCTATTCAACCTGTTCACCTCCAATATGCCGGCTCTCTCTGATGGTGGATCGTTGTCTCTGTTCGCAGATGACACATCCATCGTCTACAAGGGTAGGGTCATCGGAGCTCTGACTGCCAAACTTTAGAGAGGCCTGGACGTCCTTTCTGAATATTTCAACAGCTGGAAGATCCGTATCAACGCAGCAAAGACCCAGGTCATCATCTTTCCAGCCTCTTAATCTCCCAGACTTGTTCCGTCGGAGAATAATAAGATCTGCCTGAACGGCACAGTGGTGAAATGGTCGAAAGAGGTAGTCTACCTTGGTTTAACACTAGACAGCAAGTTGCTTTTCAGGGAGCACGTTGACAAAACCAAAACCAAGTGCAACATCTTGATAAGATCATTGTATCCACTCGTCAACAGGAGGTCTAACCTGTCGCAACAGTTCTAAAGCTATTGCGCGTTAAAACAAATTGGTAATAGAGGCAGAATCAATCCGAAATTCACCTTGTGAATCAGTCTTAATGGTAATCTTTTAAATAATATGTGTTGTTGTAGTTATATTCAAAGACGGCATCAATAATATGTTACATTTTGAGCGCACTTACCTTAGTATTGATAAAATCACAGGCTAGATCCTTGAGCGTTTTCAGCGTTAGCGCCTGGCTGGACACGGTAACGATGTCCCGCAGGTTACCGAACTGGAAGATGAAGGTAATTTCTGGCCCGGCCATTGTGCAAATATTGTTGGTTCCTTTTACTGTTTTGTGCTATGGGGATTATCTCACTAATACTAGCTATCCGTTTCTGTATATGGTTTTCCAATTCTCAAGTGCAGCGGTTTGTTTTTGTTTGATTGCGTTGTGTTTTTCTACACGGGAGATGTCTGCATTGGTCCTTCCATTCGGTTGCTCTTAGGTGAGAGATTCAGGCTTTGTTTTTGTGGCGGGAGATTGCGAATCCTGAAATTGAGAGGAAACAAGAAGAAACGCTATATGTTATAAATCATGCATCGACGCGTGGTGTTGTGCTGTTTGAAATGTGAATCATGTGTAAACGGTTTTCGCCATTCAATTCATGGCGGTGGGATGATAAGCAAGGTGCTAGCGTAGAATGAACATTTTGACTCGGACTTTGACCGGTCATATGCAGTAATTGACCATAAACATTGGCGGTGTTATCGCGGCCCGGAGTCCAACGCACCTTTTGACTTATTCTCGCGTGATCGCAATTCTTTCAATGTATTAAGCCAATGTTGACTTGACTTGTATGAATCAGTGAGTAGTTATTTTGGTCAGATTTTTTAACAGACTTGACTTCAACAAATTCTTGGAAAATCATCTAGCTAAACACCTGTGTATGTAGCTTTAAATTTGCTGAGTGATAATAGAATAGATCAATATTTTCAATTCCGTCAGTACCATTTCAAGCAAAGTACCTACTTTCCAAACGAAGCAATTTATACACTCGGTCTTATATCTGAGCAACGAGAGCTGATCTTCTTTGACCTTTCTCTGCCTGTATAGAATGCTGCTCATTTCCGTAGAAAACCCTTCTCCGACGAAGCGTGGCGTGCTAAATACTAATTTCGTTGATGAAGCGTCGAGATTGAACTCGGTGGCAAAAGTGTGTGATAATGGAAAGGCAGCAGCTAAGATGTAGATATATGTATAGAGTGAGTCGACCATTTGGAGAGCACCAATAAATATGCTAGAGTTGCACAGTTTTTAATTTACCGGCAAGTGCAGAGTATGAGATCTGATGGGAATAATTAGCTGCTGCTGTTGCAGTTTTTAGTACTCAGCCAGCAGTAGTTTACGAGAGAGGGTGTGTGCGTTTGCTTACACAAGAGGGTTGGTCGGAGCAATCTCCTCTCGGAATTATTGATATCTTACGTAATAAGTGCTAAGACGGGGACTCAACTTGAAGTGATGAGCAAATCATGACACCTTTCATTGAGCTTATCACGCGAACCTCCGAGGCGGTGGCATGTGATCGAGACATGAACGACAAACAACGAATGGAAGCGATCAATCTGGACCATTCAACTTGCTGCACTTGCATCAATAACAAGTGCTCCGGCGGTGAGCGATCTAATCAAAATGCATAATTTTGTTTATTGTGCTATGCCCAAGCCTCAGCTACCTCACAAACAAAAAGCAAGAAACAGAAAATAAAACAGAAATACTTGAAAACAGTCACCGATCGACCAACCGGTAAAAAGATCTACATATTGGGGATACCGTTAGCGATGTTGTCAACTTACGTGTGAGTCATCGCAGTGATATTTGAAGAAGAAGGTCACCCGTCGTAGGAGAGAAAGTGAAATGAGGTAAATGCCGGTGTAATAGCAAAGCAATGGTATTCCATGGGAACTTCTGCTTCGAATTCAAGAGGAATCCAAATGCTGCGAGTCCTTCTTATGAGTCATGTTTATGTACAATCCATGTCGATGTCCATTCAATTCAATTTAGATTTATTTTCCAAATTAAATTCTATATAATATGTAGACATACTCCGGATGGATTATCCGCCATCTAGCAGCTAGTTTTGAAACTTCGGAAAAGCCGGTTGACAAATGTATCGATAATTTCGACCTAAGCAATTCGGTGCAGGTCTTCGGTGAGATGCCATGAATCGAGATTGAAGATCATTTTGAGGAGTTTGTCCTGCGCCCTCTAGAGACGGATCTTTGCATAACAGGTCCAAACGGGAAATCCGTAGATTAGTCCAACAGGCCGAAATACACTTTTCATTGTGACCAGCAAATCCCGATTAGCAATTTCCCGACTGTTTTCCAGTTTTTTTTTTCTAGGGAATTCGATATTTTTCCATTTGTGCGATATACATTTAAACTAAATAAAACCAAATACGAATGAGCCGAAAAGATCACGTAAGTGGGTCATGTCATTCCTAAGACAGTAGCACGTTTCCTGGATCTTTAATTTGGTTCAAGTTCGAAGTCTTCACAGTTTGTCTATGGAAATTCGCTCAAAACTTGACAGGATTTTATTTGATTGCTCTCAGGCATTTTCTTTGGAATCATATCCCTTTACATAGGGGAATTTACGTGTTCCCGGCAACCTAAGCAGCGACCTTCCTTCTATAGCCTTTTTCTCTATGGAACGCACACATATGCAGTATTGGTTAGTTCACAATCTTTTGCTGCCAGCTGCTCTAACAATTTCAGTCGAAAGAATTGTCAAAAACTGTTTTGAAACGCTTTTACAAAGCTCCAATCTTCTCTTGTGAGAGCGAGTATTGTCGGCAACCAGTTTTTCTTCGGCAACCGTTCCATTTGAACTGCATGTAAATCTGCTGTTCTATTATCGGCAACTCGAAATCAGCTACAATTTGTAGTGCGTGTGTTTCATTTCAAGAAAACCCTGTTAGATTGCTTTTTCTCAGTGGTAAAAATATAGTCAAATTAAAGCTGAAAGCATAAAGAATCGTTTGCATGCATTCAGCGAAGTGTTTTCGTAAGAAAATCCAGTGAAAATAGTGTTTCAATATGGGTTGCCGAAAATAGTCTGTCATGCCGAAGCCGTCATTTCCCCTAGTTCTTTTAAAAATTAGCTAAAATAATTTTAAATTCTCTCTGGGAGCCCATGGAATTTTTCTAACAGTTCAGAAGTTGTCTGCAGAATTGTACAAACAAATCATGAAATTCGTCTTAAGATGCTCTTCGAAGTTTAAACTTTTTTCTAGGAATTCACTTAAACTACATTTTTTTATTTAATTCGCTTGAATTATCCGCAGAAGGGGAAGTAGGGGAAACCCAACTAACAATTTTAGCTGCAGATTAGCTTATACAGGCAAAAATAGGCATTTACGGCTTATTTTTGCATGTATAAGGTAGTCTGCGGCTTAATTTGTTTGTTGGAAATTCTACCGGATAGAAGTATTTTAAATTTTGCTCAAAATTATCTTGGAGTCCTCTTCTAAAATCTTCTGAAAATTCACTTGGAATTCTCCTTAAAATTTCCTTACAAATCTTCGCAGAATTTCTTTGGAAAAATTAGAATCCTTTGGTATTTTTCACGAATTCTGGCCTAACAATTTTACTCTAAGCTTACAAAATTGACTTGGAGTTCTATTTTTTTCCTTGATTTGCTTTCCGTCGAACTTGTTTCCGTGCTGAGCACCAATGCTACCGACGCCAGGTAGGCAGCTTACACACTTGGAACCTACCATCAACTCATGAGCCGGGGACCAACGGCTTTACTTCCCTTCGGAAGGACGGGACTGCGCCGACTGAGATTGAACCCAGGCCTGCACCGACTGAGATTGAACCCCGGAGCTGCTGAGTTCTAGTCCAAAACTTTCTTTGGGAACATGCATAAATTACTTAGCATTTTTGTTTGTTTCAGCCATGTATTAAAGGGTGATACGGTCAAAATTTGGTCAATATCAACTTGACGTATTTCTTTCAATTTTGCATTTAAAAAACCTGAACACCCCTCATTTTGAAGGTGTGTGTGTGTAGAATGTTGCTCCTATTTTGATTTTGGAATTCACTCTTCAGTTGTCAAAATGCCGTCCAAGCAAGAAGAGCAGCGTATCAAAATTTTGCTCGCGCATCGCGAAAATCCGAGCTACTCGCACGCAAAGTTGGCAAAATCGCTAAAAGTTGCCAAATCAACCGTTACAAATGTAATTAAAGTGTTTGGAGAACGTTTGTCGACAGCCAGGAAGTCTGGATCGGGGGGAAATCGAAAACCGGAAGCCGCTGAGACGACAAAGAGAGTTGCCGGTAGTTTCAAGCGAAACCCTAACCTCTCTCTCCGAGATGCCGCAAATAAGCTGGGTGTATCGTCTATAACCGTGCATCGAGCCAAAAAACGAGTCGGACTATCGACTTACAAGAAGGTAGTGACTCCAAATCGCGATGATAAACAAAATACGACGGCCAAAGCGCGATCCCGGAGGCTGTACACGACGATGCTGACGAAGTTTGACTGCGTGGTAATGGACGACGAAACCTACGTCAAAGCCGACTACAAGCAGCTTCCGGGACAGGAGTTTTATACGGCAAAAGGAAGGGAAAAGGTAGCAGATGTTTTCAAGCACATGAAACTGTCAAAGTTCGCAAAGAAATATCTGGTTTGGCAAGCCATCTGTACCTGTGGCTTGAAAAGCAGCATTTTCATAGCTTCCGGGACTGTCAACCAAGAAATTTACGTGAAAGAGTGTTTGAATAAACGTCTGCTGCCTTTCCTGAAGAAACACGGTTGTTCCGTACTGTTTTGGCCGGATTTGGCATCTTGCCATTACGGTAAAAAGGCCATGGAGTGGTACGCCGCCAACAACGTGCAGGTGGTTCCCAAGGACAAGAACCCTCCCAACACGCCAGAGCTCCGCCCAATTGAGAAATACTGGGCTATTGTCAAGCGGAACCTAAAGAAGACCAAAAAAACTGCTAAGGGCGAGCAGCAGTTCAAGGCAAACTGGCTTTCTGCGGCGAAGAAGGTGGACAAGGTGGCTGTACAAAATCTGATGGCAGGGGTCAAGCGTAAGGCCCGGCAATTCGGATTTGGAAAAGCGGAAGCCTAACTGAATATTTTTCCTGAATTTTATACTAATTGAACTTGAAAAAGAAATTTAATTTGATTTTTTAAATAAACGATTTCACCGATTTACACGCGTTTTCCCTTGACCAAATTTTGACCGTATCACCCTTTATGTACCACGAAATATGCAAGGAGGGAGGTCTAAAATTGGTCAAAAATATGCTAAGTCATTTATTGGACAACACCACACGAATTATGCAACCGGATGATAGGTATGACAGCAACTACGACAGAAACAACTCTGATTTTAGGGAGGGCTCTCTTCTCCCACTTTTCAAACTCCCTTATTAGGGGGCTCCCTTTGGGGCCTGCACCCTAAACTCTGTAACTAGGAGAACCACAGTTCGGAGTCCCACCCCATTACAAACTTTGTAACTAGGGGGGCTCCCTTC